ATTTGACTTTTGACTTCAAAATGAAAAATATAATTTGACAAGATAAAAATTTCTTGCGATAAAGAAAGCAGCACATCATTAATTATTAAACTTGTTTCAATATCAAAAGAATATCAAACATTGTAAATTATTATAGTTTGATTTTCCAAATGCAAATGTGGTCAAATGCAATATCAAAATTAAGATTTAAATTTAATTATGGATTTTGACCTAAAAATAAATAAATGCTGCAAAATAACCCATTCGAAGATTTAAAATAATAAAAAAAATAAATAAAATAAGTTTATGATATTTTTAGAAGAGAGGCTTCAGAATCGCGTGTTCTATTTAGCGAGCGTGCTATTTAGCGAATCACTTTTTCGGCTCACTATATTAGATGAGCGAGTGAGGCAGTTTTTTCACTATTGGACTATACAGTCTCATGTGGTAAGAGAGTTGTAAAAACATTTTGATAAATTGAAGAACAATACATTTAATAAGGGTAAACTTGAAAAACAAATGTTAGCTTATTTGATGCATTAACGTTAAAGAAAGTGACACATGTCATGGGGAAAACGAAAAAGGTCCAAAAACGAAGGTTGAAGAGAAGGTTGCTAGCATTCTAGTTATTATATGATTGGTTGCCCAGCTTCACGTTTGTTTCCGTTTGTATTCGATTTATTCCAGCAATATATTCATATATAGGTTGACTTTATGAGAAACCATTAATTACCAAACGGAAGTTGAATGAATTTGAATGAAACTTGAAGAATTCTTGACGTTTTATCTCTTGACATGATTTCATACTTTTCTTTAATTTTCTGAAAATAGTCCAAGAGATGAAACCTACACCGCTATGTTCAAAATTGCCAAGAAAAAATTGGCTGGTTTGGGTCATTGCTTGATCAGGAAAATCCATTGGAGATGAGATGTAGCTTACGCTTGGAATTACAAAAATATCATTATTATTACAAATGAATTGTTATTATTAATTAATACAAATCGTAATTGCAATTGTTTGTAGTGAAATTATATTTACTTTTCAATCTGAATGAAAATCGATATGCAAAAAGAATAATTAGAAAGAAAAGAAAAAGAATAATTATTATCAATTTATTTATAAACTAGCCTCTTCGCACACGCTTCGGCGCCTGCAAGAGGTTTTTTTTTAAAAAAATTTAATTTATTTTAGAATTAAAAAAGATAATGGGTAGTTGTGTTCCATAAAAAGAGGATCTATTATCTGATTTTTCTTTTAATTTTAAATTTTTTTAATATGAAAAAAATGTGAATTTACCATAGTATCCTTATTTAATTAATAATTTCAAATCTTAATGTTTGTATTAACCAATGGCATTTTCTAGTATTTTGAATGTTTCACCATTCTCTGTCTTTTGTTTTATATATACTAGCCCCTTGCCACACGCTCACGCGTGTGCCAATTGGTTTTATTTCTTTAGTTTTTAGAATTAAGAAAAGAAAAAATGGGTAGTTATTTTCGATAAAAATAGGAAGCATTATCTGATTTTGTTTTTAATTTTAATTTTTTTTAATATGAAAAAAAATGTGAATTTACCATATTATCCTCATTTAATTAATAATTTCAATTCTTATTGTTTGAATTAACCAAGGGCTTTTTTTGGTATTTTGAATGTTTCACCATTCTCTGTCTTTTGCTTTATATATATAGAAGATAGATAAAGTAGCATTACATATATAAAGACAATAATACATGATGAAATAAGAGAAATTATTTGGTGCAATCAGTTGGCTTAAAGGACACGGTTTGCTTCTTTTTGTCATATCCCACCAAGAAGTCCATCTGAGACAAGTTCCCATAGATTGAAATACTTTTAGTAGGAGCAAAAGCAAAGCACACAGCCTCCTCACTAGCTCTAACAAAGGTGTGGGCAGCATCCAGCTTCACATCGGCGCCTTTGAAATGCACGATGAGGGTGGGGGCTTTGAACTCCGCTTCAGATTCACTACTCTTGTAGCAAAGACTCAAAGGAACATTAGGGACATCCATGCGTTCCTTACCGATTGCTTTATCAACTTCAGCTTCCAAATTTGCGTAGAAATCGGATGGAAAGAAGGTCAATGTGGTGCCAGAATCGATAATAATGTTGCCCTCCCCATTGGCGAAAGTTGAGGGTGGAAAAGCAAGTTTAGTGTCACCAACACTTATTGCTTCCACGGTCAAGAAGTAGAAGGTTTCAGGGTATAGACCTTGGACAATGGGAGTGGACACAACTTGAGAGCCTGAAACCACAGCATTGGTACCAAAGTTCAACTTGCTTGTGGTTTTAGCTTGTGATTGAATTGAGACCAAGCAATGGGAAAATTTACCGTCTATAGAAGCACCCAATTGTGTAATTAGGGATTCATTACCACCTCCAAGACCAACTATGCCAGAACTTTTCTCATCAAAGGTCCCATTATTATCATGCCCACATCCAATTAGGGTTTTGGGGAATGCTAGGTTTCTGCCAGTAGTGGAACCTAGGGTTAGAGTTTCCCTGGCAAACTCTCCACGGCTGTGTGATCCATCACCATAACTGGCTGAGTACTGGCAATTACTACTTGAGCAAGTTCCATTCAGGGAGACACACTGGTTTGAAGAGCAAGGTAGGGTTTTGTAAGTTGAGGATCTTTTGGGGTCAAAAAGAGGGTCTGTTTGTTGGTAACAACTAGGGCAAGGTTTGCATTGTGTCCAGATGAGATCACTGCCTGTGTCAGCAATGGCTTTGATAGGAAACGGGGGTGTTCCGATCGATGCTTCCATGAGATACTCACCCCGGTTCATGATGAGAGTGGCTTCAACTTGGTTAAGGCCATCCTGAGATAGTGGAGAAGCTGCTGGGCTGAAATGGTTGAGTCGGTTAATCGATCGGCGAAGGGCATTGACCAAACGCTGGGAGGGTGTCAAAGAAGGGTTGTAAAAGGGGGATTTTGGTGAATCACGGTGAATGAGATCAACACTGAAGCCACCTTTAGCTGAGGCCAAAGAGAAACTAGAGGCACAAAGAAGAAAGAGCAAGGTTGTTGACAATGCAACAAAGGCACAAGAATGATAAGCTGCCATGGCTGAGAATGATTGTGAATTTGTGATTAGGACAGAGGTATTATGATGTGTATTTATAGGTGGAGAAGAGCCTGAGATTGATGGTTTCGGACAGTGAAGGTGGGATTTGCTCTTCCGGCAATTGATATCCCGATTTGATTAATTACATGATTATGTGTTGCCTAGATTGACGTTTGTTTCCCTTTGGCTTGGATATTCTAATTAAGAGATACATATGAGAATCCAACTTGCGGAAAACAGATTAATTTCCATTTTGTTTTCACCAATATATTTCATATATGGCATGTTTGTCAATGGGAAAAGTCATGAATCGGGAAACTAATTTGCATAGATTTGTCCCAAAATTACTATCGGATTAACAGATAAGTCAATGCAAAAGTCAACACCTTCAAAGGTGCACAAATTGAAGCTGCTATTTGTAAACGGAAAATACATATGGTACTTTTGTTTTGAAGATTATAAGGTGGTAGGTTTGGTATGACTCTTGAATTGAAAGAGGAAATAAATAAATAATTTAAAATTTAGATGAGTAAAATTTGGTAGATATGGAAGATAATTAGCCAATGTTAATGCAAATTTAAAGTTTTAACCCATAGTTAGCTTTTTTTTTTTCTTTTTAAATAGGTTGTTTGATTTCAAGAGGGAGTGAACAAAAGTTGACTCTCCTGGAAAAACAAAAACAAACGTTGACTCAATTACCAGCTTTGCGTAACGGATCATGGTTTTGCATGGTTAGTCCCAAAATATGATCAGATAAATGGATAAGTCAACGTAAAATTGTACCAATAATTGCTTGAGATTTGGTGGGTGGGACTGAATTGGAATATTTCAATTAAAATAGACAAGAATTCTGGTCGTTGTTTGGTGCGTTGAGACTGGACATATTAAAATGAACAACAGTTCCACATATTGTATCTTACAAGTCCCACATCGAGGCGTGAGACTCATAAGACCTGGTTTGAACTCAACTCCAATCCAATTCAAGGCGGATCTGATATAAAATAAAATAAAATAAATTTAAGCCGAGCCAACTGAGGCCTTAGAACGACCAGCCCTTGCATAATCAAAGACGAACTCACATTGTGGGCTATATGGGCTACAATCCATGCATTTTTTCTTTTTAAAATAGCATTTAGTTTTAGCCCATAGACTAACCCAAATTTTAACCCAACCCACCTCTTGTCTAACCCAATGTTTTGAAAGGCGAGGCGTTGAGGCGAGACGTTTTAGTTGCGCTATACGAGACATAAGTCTTGAAGCAGTAAAGCGTAAGCCTTTTGAACATTAATTTATTTTAATAAAAAAAATTTATGAATAATACAATACAATTAAATTGTACAACTAATTCTTACTGAACCATAACCATCTTTTAAATATAATCAAATATAAGTACTAATTGTCATTCAAAGCATAATAATTAATCCCAAAACATAAAATATCACATAAACGAATAAGATAAGTAATATATTGAAAAACAATTATATTGAACTTCAAATTACAGTTGCGAAGAATTAGAGAGAAAAATAGAATGGCTTACTTGCAGTCTAAAAATAAAGAGATTTCTTGAAATTGATGGAGATTATCTGATAAGGGTAGAAATTAGGGTTATACACAATATATATATATATATAAGTCCATGTATTAATATATTAATTTAGAAAAAGAAAAAAAAAAAACAAAGAGGTAAGTAGAATAAAGGCTACAGCCGCCAGGAGTTAGAAAAGGGCAAGAATCTTTTGTCTTTATTTATGAAAGTTTATCTTTAACCCAAAAACAAAAAAGGCAAGAAAGATATTATTAATATTGAAATTGAAATCTACAGCCTGCAGCTTGCGTGGCTACAACTTGCGTTTTATTAATATTAAAACTGAAAGCTACAGCTTGCGTTTTATATTTTGTCAAAACACTCAAGTAGAACGACATCGTTGCATTTAATCCTAAAATCAAAACACGCGAGTCTTCTTCCTCGCAGAGTCATCTTCCTCGCGGCCATTTTGCAGATTCATCTGCGCAATCTCTTCCGGTTCAGAATTGTCCAGATCTGGGGCAGCCTCGCTCCGCCTTGCAACGCCTCCTCACGCCTTGCCCGCGCTATACGTGCAACTCGCGAAATAGCCGACCGCCTCAGACGATTCCCTGCCGCCTCGCTTCGACGCGCGCGAAGGCATGCCTTACACTGGTCTAACCCAAACCTAACGCATAGTACTGGCGGGAACGCTAACCAGAGAGAGCCAGAGAGCAGGACATTGAACAGAAGCAGCAAGTACACCTCGGTCCACGGCGAGAGACAGAGACTTATTGGTTCATATTAGGACGCTAGTTGCTATTGTTGGAAACTGAACCTGGTAATTGTTTTCAATTATGCTTGAATTTGTTGATATTTAATATTGCATTCTTTGCCCAAAATGTGCGACTTTAATCTGTGCATACTTGATTTTGGAATATAATTTAGAAGACAACCCAAATGTTCTACCTCAGCCGAATTGAGCACACTCTGCGTCTGCCTCCTCATCTGCTTAGCCTTCGTCTAGAAGATGCAGTTAGGGGAGAGCTTGAGAAGCTTTTCTTAGATAAGGTTTGTCAGCTGTACATATTTTGAATTTTGCCCCTTGTTTCTTATTCACAATTTTTTTACCTTGATTCACTGTGATGTTGTTCCTTGTAGGTTATCGCCAACTTGGGACTTTGCATTTCTGTCCATAGTATCCAATCCATTAAGGATGGCTTTATCTTACCTAATGATGGTCATCCAACTTTTAGGGTATATATTTGTTTACCTTACTCTTCTCAATTTTATGACTAAAGTGCTTTTGGTAAATTCTGTTTTGTTCAAATTTAGGTTGTTTTAGTTCGTATAAGTGGAGTCAGCTTGCTTGCTTCAATCCGTTTTGTTATTCTTATTCATATTCTTTCCACTTTTCAATTTTAAGATACCTCAATTTATTTCCGGTTAAACTGCTCGGTGTATGAGAACTGCCAATCTAAATACTTAGTATCGTTGATATAGATTATTAGGCCTTTAGCTTAATATGTAATAGACAGTGATCTTCTTCTCTATATCCAAATTTTGTTTGTTGATTGGTGATAATGGTGTGCTTAAGTAGGCTTGTTTTGGTCAGGTAATTTTGCTTGTTTGTGGATTGCTTTTGTTGATTTTTTGTTTTTGGTTTCAGAAGAAAATTGGGAAACTTTGGTGTTTTAGCTGATGGGTGGTAAAGATTTAATGGTTTTGGAGAGGGTATTGGGTCGCATTAGGGGTTAATGATTGGTTTAGTTTTCTAATAAGAACTATAATCGTGCTTTTAGGTATGTAGTGGAATAAATTTTCTTGGAGCTGCTTTGGATTATAATAAAGTTGTGGATTTCCATTTGTAACATGTTTCACTCAAAAAGTTTTGAGGGAGAATGGAATGGCTTTTAGAGCATACTTGTTTAGTTTTCAATGCACTGGCATTAAGTGTCAGTCTGTAAGAGCATCCACAATCATGCTATCTATTTTTTTAGTTAAAAATTAGTTAAAAACACTATAAAGCTATTTTAGGAGCTCTCTATAAAATTTCAACTCCAACCATATTCCCTAATTTAAAGAGTCATAAATGATTTTAATAATTTTTAATTCAATATTTGAATAAAGTATAGACACAAAAGCAACAAAAAATAGTTGGCATTAAATAAATGGTTAAAATACTATTAAAGTAATTTGGCATTAAATTATATGGAGCCACTAGGAGTCCTTTCTCTCTTCTCAGATTTAGGAGCTCCTAGAGATCTCTCTATTTTAGGAGGTGAATAGAGAGCATGGTTGGAGTTGTATTTTTCCAATTGCTCCCTAAAATTTGTGTAAGGACGTGGTTTAGAGAGCCCATTGTGGATGCTCTAACTTATAATTCTTAAATTTGGTGATTGCATCTATTTTGATGATTGGTCTTCCATTGTGGTCTAGTGGTTTTGTACAGGTCTTGATTGAAAGATTGACATTTTTTACTTTATCTCTTATCAGGATTTGATGGGTTTTAATCAAATTTGTCATATTTGATAAAATACTTCTCTGTAAGGAATGCTTTGAACTACTGGATTTGATTTTTTGACTGACTTTGAGTTATGTGATTATTTGTTGTATGAAAACACAAATGAGTTTTGTTTGGTTGTTTGAGTCAGAGTTTTCGACTTAAAATTATTTCGAAACGAGGAAGCATATCATTGTTCTTCGTTCACTGGCTGCAGAAGATTGATATCTGTTATGTGTAGTTAGAATTCATCACTTAAATTCATTACTTGTTAGTCAGTGCCTCCCTGCTAGCTAGCCATTCATTACTTGTTAAATTGATTACTTAATGGCTGATTGTTAGCTTAAATTGGAGATGCTGATTAGTGGAGAATTTATTCCCTGGATCCTACATAAACTAATGTACTCTACCTTCATTTGATATGACAATATGTAATATACAATGATCTTCTTCTCTATATCCTAATTTTGTTTGTTTTGTTTTTCCGAAACATGGAATCAGAGCAACAAGCTCTTGAGATCTAACCCCACTGCAACCCTTACCCTAGAAAAAAGGAACAAAGAAAGAAATGGACAGCTTCTTCTCTCTTTCCCATTACTATGACATAGGTTCCTTTAAATCTTTTTGCTTGGATTTCTTCTCGGTTCTCAGCTTGATTTACTTCATTCCCTGTGCGTGACAAAACTGACAACTAGGGCCTGTCTTCTTCTTTATGAAATTGAAGTGCCTAATTACCTTGAGAGTGAGTATCACTGGTATATGCTGATTATTTGTTGTTTACACTTAATGGGTGACTGTTAGGCATTTAGACTAAATTAAGATTTTCAGCTTAAATTAATGTCTGATTTGCAGAGATGATTACCAGAGAAATTAATGTCAGAATACTCCTTTCATTTGAGTATGCACTATGCAATATTCTTCTTCTTCTTTCTAAAGTTTCTTGTTTTATTTTTCCCCATTTTCAACAATTGGCAGGTGGAGTTCACACTGATTATGTTTCGTCCATTTGTGGGAGAGATAATTGTTGCAAAACTTAAAGAATCTACTGCAAATGGTTTACTTCGTATGTATTCTACTGAGATAAACTGAGTGTAGCTTAATTCTACGTCTCATTTAGTTTTGCCTTCTTAGTTTCTCTTTGGTGCAAGCAATTCTCACTCTATGCATTGATGGACTCCTCTTTGCTAAGGAAGCATATCTATGTCTTACCCATAGTCTGATTTTGAATAATTAAATGGCAGTCCCTTGAATTTTTCGATGATATTTATGTACCTGTTCATCTTTTGCCCGTTCCATCCCATTCCGTGCCTGACCCAGGAAAGAGGTGACCATCCCTTCCATGTCAGGTTGATATAAGTACAAATAGAGCGTTATATTTATAATCCTGCATGAATTCTTGTATATTGATATATTTTTAAACACCCTTTAATTTGTAGTTTATAGTATTTGCTGAGGATTACAGGGATAGAGTCGTGTGGATATGGAAGTTTCCTGATTCAGATGAAGAACTTGTTATTGATGGGATAGACCAGGTTCATATTGTTGTGGTTTAATTTATCCATACGTACTCAACGTTCTGGTGCCTAAGTGTATGCTAAATTTTAGTTCCAAATGGCAGATAAAATTCCAAGTTCACAGTGTGAACTTTCCTCCAATTCCAATTGAGCAGCCAGAAGACTCAAAACCATTTGCCCCTATGGTGGTTACAGTAAGTTTATGCTTTGAATCTTATCATACGACTGGTGGTTGATTCTAGCTGTAGCATCACTTGATCTCTAGTTCTCTACAATTCTCCAAAGGCAATGAACTATTGCAAAAATGCTGCTTTGTGAAACTTCTGTTCCCTTTAAAATCTGTGCTAATTCCTTTATGTAGAGTAACACTAATTCTTTTGTTACATCTTTGTTCAAATTAAATGAGGGTTGGCAAGTAGATTTCTAATGAATTCTGTGAGCCTCCAATTAAGTTTCCTATTTTGAAGGGATCAATTGATTTTGACGGTTTGGGCCTTGTTTCGTGGTGGGTGGATGCAGAAGATAAGGATGAAGAACCTGAAGATCCTTAAGCTGACAGACCTTCAGCAAAGGGGAGCTACTTCTATCATGTTTCTCATGAATGTGTTTAAGGCATGAATACAATTTGATTTGAGCTTGTAACTTATTCATTTTAGATTATACATAAACTATTGTAGTTCAAATTAGCTTGATGGGAAGGTGGATAAACTTTGGTGGTGTAGGGGGTAAGAAAATATTTGTATGAATTCCATTGTGAATCAGCTTAGCTTGAGCCTTGAGGATTAGTGGTTTTGACCTGCTGCCCCCATTTGCAATATCTTGGGGATACTGCTACTTGCACATATCTAAATGTATTTCTAGCTTCAAAATGTTTTCTTTGAGTGTAGAATTGTGAAAGCACTTGATAGAATAAATGGACTTGTTTTTTTATTTATTCTTTTTGTAAGTAAATGATTTTTTTAACAAAAAGGAGGGCAAATCCCTTAGTGCAAATAACAACAGGGTCATAAGACCAAACAAGAAAACACAAGGGGGCAGTCCCTAGCTAACAATACAACAAACCCTAATAGCAATTAGCTCATAGGGCTCTTCCAATCTGCAACAAGATAGGAGTTAGCAGGTGAGGTTTTAAACACTATAGAGCAAAGCCTACCTAATAGGATTATGCAATTACTGAAAATCCTACAATTGAGTGTTACAGCAAGGGGGCAAGAAGCGTTTATCGAAATCCGACAATTTATTTCCTTCCAAATGTAGTAAACAAAGGCAGCAAACAGAAGTCTAATTGTGCTTATTCAGTACGTAATCTCCCTTGCACATCAAGATTGCTATATATTACATTGTTTGATTTGCATCAGCAATCAAAACGATTTCTGTAGAATTTGTAACTGTTGATGCACTTGTGGTACTTGAATTGTCCCCAGGAACCACTTCTGGCATTTGTTGTGGATACAAAAAAGGCTTTGGAGGCATGTCAAGGCTCTCAATTTCTCCTTCAAGCATCTCAACTGCTTTATTCATAGGAGGACGGTCACTAGGCTTCATTTGTATGCACCACAATGCCACAATGATCATCTTCTTTATGATTTTCTCTTCCTCCTCTGTGGCGTCTTCAATTTTTATGTCCTTTCCATCATTCAATTGGTCAAAAACCCATGTTGGAAAGTATATTTGGCTTGACTTCTCTATGGTTGCATTTAAATTCTTTCTTTTGCCAGCCATTTCCATCAACAACATTCCAAAACTATAGACATCAGCTTTGTATGAAATACCTCCAATGTTTTTATAGAATAACTCTGGTGCTATGTATCCGATAGTTCCTCTTGCTGCCGTCAAAGATACAATGCTATTATCGAGCGGGCATAGCCTTGCTAATCCAAAATCAGACACCTTGGGAAGAAAATTCTCGTCAAGAAGAATGTTATGAGGTTTGATGTCAAAGTGCAGAATTTGCATTTCACATCCTCTGTGCAGATATTCAATACCACGAGCCACTCCAAGTGCGATTTCAAACATTTTCTCACAATTCAAAGAGATACCTCCTTGTTGAGAAAATAAGTATTTATCAAGAGATCCATTAGGCATGAAGTCATATACGAGAGCACGCTTTGAACCCTCAACACAGAAGCCAATTAGTCGCACCACGTTAACATGGTGAATCCTTCCAATGGTAGCAACTTCATTGATGAAGTCTTGCCCATTAGCTTTGGACTTACCCAACATCTTGATGGCTACAAGGCGACCGCTACGAAGCTTTGCCTTGTATACAGAGCCATAGCCTCCTTCACCCAATTTTTCCTTGAAACCTTTGGCCATCTTTTTTATGTTTGAGTAAGAGTACCTTACTGGCACGAGCTTATTGTTCTGCAAAAAGTCTTCTATATTGTGATGCCCTGACAAGTGCCTCCTTCTCCATTTGTATATTATTAATGCAGTTGCATAGGGAAAGCCAAACACATATATGACTGTGTGCAATATTCCTGCGCAGTTCACAAAAAGTGGACTCAATAGAGACATTAATTGATTGCTACAATACTATTTTCCTTAGTACAACATTTTTCATAGTCAAGGGCCTTTTCGCCTGGTAACCTTTTCGTGTTTAGTTTTTAGTTGTTACTTTTTTAGCAAAGATGGAGAAACAAATATATGGGAGAAATATTGGAGAAAGAAGAGATGGGGAATGGAAAAATGAAAGAGAATGTAAGAAACAAAAACTTGAAAAGAAAAGGTATTTGAAACTGCTTTTAATTAGTTTTCTTTTTGTGCAACATTTCATTCCATTTTCTCCCACTTTCTTTCTCATTTTGTCTTTCTATCACTTTAACTTAAAAGCACTTGATATTAAATATTGAAAAGATAAAAAAACAAAATGCTTTTATTCTTCAGTTATCAATAGCTAAAACTGAAAAATGCTACACAGTAACTGATTTCAAGTAGTTCGCATTACCTAGGAAAGAGATTACACAGGTTAATGGAATCCAAGGAAGGGTGACACTGTTGCACTTGTTGGTGAGCGCAAAGGCATACAGGTGTTCTGGAACATAAGTGAAAAACTCGATCATAAATTCATAATTCAATTAAGTATACAAAACATTTGAATTATATGTAATAAGTTGGATTAGAGAGTCGGCTACTTTGCCTGCTATATAGAGTATGACCCGTAAGATCGTCTGGTACAAATGTTCTGCATTTCAAAAGAAAATAAGATTCATATTTTGTATACAAAAAGATCATAATACATATGTATATATTACAAAAAGATTATCCTTTTGACTACCAAATTATTTGTGAGTGAAAACACCATAAACTCTCTTCCTATTCCTTTGATCAGTGTCTCTAACATAATATATCTACAGTAGATGGCTGTAATATATGAATGTGTACACAGATGGAAGCAAAAGCCTGCTTTCCACACATGAGAACAGCGTGAAATGTTATTTGACAACAAAATCTTGTCAATGTGTAAAGTTTCATATCCATCACATTCTTATCTTTCTCACGGGATTAACCAAGGATAGAGAGCATGCTCTGATACCATGTTAATGTGAAATAATTCGGTCATGATTCTGTGTCTATTTAAAAGGGCAAAGCTCGATATACAAGATGAAACTAAGAATGGTAACCTATAAAAGTCAAAAATACTATCAAGGGAGAAATTGACAACTAAGGAAATTAACCAAATATGAAGAATTAAAGTTAAATGGGTGGGTTCTACCATTACTTGGTTCGAGGAACCTCCAGATTTTATTAGTGATCTCTTATTTGAGGAATGTAACATGTAATTTTTCTACTGGCATGATCTCTTATTTGCGGTTGAGTTGGTAAGACTACTCAATTAGTCATACAACCAAACCTGTATGTGTAGATAAACTCGCCTAATCCCCGACGACATGGTCTGATTTTTTTGGTACTATTACTTATTCCATCTATCAATCAATAATACTATCACTCTTTTCTCAACCAAAAAAACAAAAACAAAAACAATAGTCAAATGAATAAATAAGGCTTGGTGGCTGGTGAAGAAGATATTTAACAGCGCTGCATATATATTATTGACATCATCTGGAGGAGAGAGAACAAATATGTTGACTCTAGCTAGCATTATTGAATAAGTGAAATCATTAACAGATGCAGTACTCCTTATCCATTTCACATAAGTTACATGCACCGTTAAACCATGAGAGCTCAAAGCCGCGCGCTATTTCATTATATATACCTTCACAGGACAAGTTCCGGTGCAGATCTGTAGATGTTGAAGGTGACACCACAACCATTTTTGTTATTTTACAGGACTCCCCCAAATCGAATGAACTTATTATGGAGCCATTCAAGCCAATCATGACATAAGAAAACATTCTTGAAGTACTGGACAAAGAAGAATTGGCAGAATTGTTGATGCATGGAGCTGTATCAACAAGGAGAGGAGAATGCATTGGATTTGCACAGCTGATAAAAATTATAGGCACTTCATGTATCGCTAGACTATACAGTCGGAGTTCTTGAATATCTTCGTCGCTATAATAATAATGAGATGAAAAAGGATCTTCACCATCACTAAGGTTGAAGGAGGTTAAAGAGTAAAGTGGGTTGGAGAAGTAGTTGTCTTGCTTCTGAACACCAGCATCAACAACTCGGATTGTCCAGTCACTGTAATTGATCGCCTTTACGTAATACTTTCCCGAATACAAGCATATTACTGTAACATTTTCCTCACAATATAGCTCAAAATTGTTGTAATTGTCGCCACAGTATTGAAGGTTTCCATTTAAGTAGAATGGAGAACTTATGTTAATATTTCCACAAAGAGTACTATCTTCCACGGTGGATGTTTGGAAACAGAAGGAAGGAGGAAGAAGGAGAAGGAGAAGGGCTATGTGTGCAGCAAATAGGAGACTTCCTCTAGACATAGTGAGAGAGAATATTAGGAGGAAGGAAGAGACTTCCAATCCAATTGAAATTTATCAAAATTATGGAAGAGGACAAAATTAATTAGACAAAGTAGGTTCTGTAGCTATGGCAAATAAGAGAGGAGTGACTTCAGAAATGACCATTTGAAGGCAAGTTCACACTCACAAATACAAGGGAGAATAAAAGAGAGGCAAATAAGAATAGTGTCTCTAGAACGACGCTCTTATGCAGCACGAAATGAAGAAGAAAAAAACAGGAATTTTATTTCTTCTCCTACAGCAGCAGCTCCTTTTCTTCTCTGCTCTCTGCCTCACTTCTCTTCTTTTCTCTCGGTTTGCCTTCCTCTAGTTCTCTTAAACAGCTCAACAATAAAACTCTGCGTTTCTCCAAAGGAATATATTATTGTTAGGCGGCGAATTAGTTAATTACCAAACTATATATAATGAATATATCAATTTTAAAAAAAGATGACCTTTATTGTTCTGTTTTTACAAAGTAGAGACCCGGTAAATTATTTTAATCAACGATTAAATATTATTGAATATTAAATAAGTAAAAGAAGACCAACACCAAGACCTGGGTCTGCAGTCAACATATATTTAAGATTTTTTTTTCCCTAACTTATATTGTACTGTTTTTTCTACATTCACACTTGACCTGCATGTGCTCTCTGATTGACATTTATGAGTCAACAACAATGTGACCCGGTATCAGCTGCTTAAATTAGACTGGACCACAGTATCTTTAGACTCGTTTTCGATCGGTGATGAAAATGTGAATGCATTTTCCATTTTATCACCCAATTTTTCAAAAGAATTTAGATGAAAAATTAATAAAATATAAGTCATATTTAATAAAACAGTCTCGCTCACTTAAGGACCTAACAATAAGGTCATGTGAGTTCCTATTTAATAAAGGCCATTGAATTAAGAGCCAGTTTGGAATTGCTGTTACTTTAAAAAAAGTTGTTTCTGCTGTGCTTTGAAAATAATTAGTTGTTGTGGGGTTCTTTTTGTTCCAGCAGCCTGACGAATGGGCTGGGCTGCCGTAAGGAGCGAAAATGGGTGAAATTACCCCCTGTGTCTGAGTTCAAAGATCAAGCCCCAAGAATGCTTCGAAAGGACAATGAAGCCTTAGGAAACACCTTGGTTACCTTCACCAACAAAAACAACGTCTGTTTACAGGTAGATTCTTAGCTTGGCATGAGAAGCTTGTGGCATGGGAGCAAAACCGTCATGAGTTTAGCATAAACAGAGAAAGAGCTGTGAGTTCCTATGAGAAACAGGGTTTCTAAGGAAAGGGGAATGGATTCTAAGAGGTTTTGTCAAGGAGAGAGATGGATGGAGGGTATAATGGGTGAGTTGAGTAGTTTTCGGCAACTTGATGAAAACTCTGTCAAGATTTGGAATAGCTTGCCAGAAGAGAAAATTGGAGGAGATGGAGAGGTGTGGCTCGAAATTGAAGGGTTCCAGAGGTGAGAGATGATGCTTGCTCTCTGGGTCTGGTTTGCTTGCCTTCGATTGAGTTGTTTTTAATGGGTAGAAGACACTCCTTTTTATAGCCGATGGAAGCTCCTCCTTCCCAAGAAACCCTAATGGCTTTTCTCCACTTTTGCCAAGTCTCCCCTTCCCTTTTTCTTCTCTCCTTTCGATTCATCATCTTTCATGCAATTTTCCTCAGTCCAAACACACCAAGACAAGGTTTTTGGGAGCTCTAAGGCCTTCCTGTAGCGGCTCCAGCGTTGAACTCTTATTTTTGAACACCTCCGCACCTTCTTTCCTTCCCTCTTCAATGGTAGGAGCTGGTAGGAGAAAGAAATTGGTAAGGGCGTTGGTTTGAAGAGTGCCCCTCCCTCTAGCAACCCGTGCTCGCCATTATCCTCTGGATCTTTGCATGTTCTTCTTTGAAGTTTGCTATGCCCATGTGCTGGAGCCTCTCAGCAGCTCACCGACATACACTTTGGCTTTCATCGTGGTTCACGTTTCCAGCTAAGTGCTGGTGACTACAGATATTTTCTTGGCTGCTTGGGTTTTTGCTAATGTGATAGGTTAGCCCATTAAGAGAATGGGCTAATTTCCTTAAATGATGGGCTATCTTATTATGGTGATGGGCTTATTTCCTAGGGTATTTGGCTCCATTCTCTCTCTCTTTTATGCTTGCCCACATATTTGGGCTCAAAAAATGGGCTTGAGTTTTGGGGCTCCCAAGCGGCCCAAAACTTCCATTTCTCGGCTCATCAATGGGCCTCATGAAAGCTCGTTACCATCCATACCACAACCCACTCAAGTAAGGCCCGGGCATTTGCGTGGCTTGGGCCCACTTAAGCTTGTAGCGTGGCTAGGTGTAATAATAATGATTTTCGCTTGGCATGGCATGTCGCTTGACGTGCTTGAATTTTGTCACCTTTAAAATGGATATGATGCTTGACAGGATAATTAGCATGGGCTTGTAGAGCTAGTGCATTTTATAGGCTATAGCGTGGTAGATTGCATATGTATTTGGCATGGTACATGGATCATGGCTCGTGCAAGCGTGCATGAAGAATTTCGCATGCTTCGAACCGGATTTCTTCTTAATAAGGTGTCGCACTGGGCCAGGAATTTATTTAGGCCCAACCCTGGATTTTTTGGGCCTCAACATTAGCCCCATTAATTATTAGGGCCATGAATGAGTGCTGGAATGGGCCGAATAATTAAACTTGATCCAAAAATCAAATTCATAAGCTCCAGCCGTTATTTGTGGTTTCCCAGATACCAACTTCCTCATTCTTCTTTTTCATTTATTATTTCTTCATTCTTCTCCTTCCTCTTTACGCGCACCAGAGTAAATCCCTCTCTACCACTTTCTTCTTCTTTTCTTTCCTTTCTCCAGCAAACTCAGAGCGAGAGAGAGTGAGATCGAGGAGAGCCGCCCTTCTACAGCCGTTGAAAGGGAGCTCAAGCCAAACCCGACTTTGTTATCCCCCCCGCATGAAGAAACCCACTTGCCGTTGTTGGAAGAGATTGTCTCTGTGCAGACTTTTCTTCCAAAATTCTCAATTCCTTCTTTCTTGGGGCATCTGAGGCTATCCTCTGAGGGGATTAACAAGGTATGCCCTTTTCTCTTGCAATTTCTTGAATCTATTGAGGGGTTTGTTGGGTTCCTCACACCCATGGATTTTGCTCTTTGTTTTGGCAGCTAAGCACCAAACCCCTTTGACCCATTTTGTTACCGTCGCAAAGAGGGTACTCACGGCGTGGGTGCTAGCAAGGAAGGGCTCGCGTTAGTTTTTGGGGTTCTCTTCTTTTCGATTTCTTTCTTTTGCAAGCTGCTGGAAGAGTGCCAAAGAATTGTGAGAAGAAATCGCTGGTATGGACTGCATCCCTTCCTTTTCTCCATTTTCCTTCCCCATTTTTATCACGTGTTGGCCCTCTTTGTGCTGGTGAAAAGGCTGCACTATGCACGATGTGCCTTTTCTATGTAGGTGTATACATCTCTGGCACATGCAGGGGAAGGTGCCGGAAGCCTGCGTCGTATAACCTTCTGCTCGAAGCTTTGAGTGTATCAATTTCGCAACTTGGCAACTTGGATTTCTATCTCGATTTCTCAGTCAATAGTTCTGCTCCTTTGCTGGAATCATGAGTCTTTCTTTTGGCTTTGTAGGAATAGACATAGACTGGTGTTTGGCCTAAGCTCATTTTTCTTGTGAACACATGCTTGATTAACCTTGGACTTTCGTTTATGTCGTGGGAAATAGAAATTGACAGGATGCATGTTTTGCAATGCTTGAATTTTTTGCATTTTTGAGAGAGAATTTTGCTTGCCATGGGAATTGCTATCGATCATGAAACAAGAATTTTGCTTGCCATGGGTAAATAGCATGCTACTTGGGCATTTGCTTAAGCATTTCCTTTGGCATGAGCTTGACTTGCCATACTTGGTGTATATTTTGCGTGTGCTACGTTCTTGACCCTTTTTTTGATTGTTGTTGAACTATATGCATCACGAGCGTATGCTTGTAACCGCATGATTAGTACATAAGATCATAGGCTGTTGAAAGCTTGAGGAAACCACCATTGGTTTCTTTTTTATGAGCTTAGAGCTTGGTCATGGATAACTGTTTAATTTTTTTTTTGGCTTTATAGGGATAGACAGAAACATGTGTATGATGGGTCCGCAAGGATGCTGTGTAACTCATAGGGATTTTGGTTTTTTTTTTTTTGCTTTTGCGAAAAAGGTTACTAGGAGGTGAATAGTGTTTAGTTTGTAACACTTGCTTTGTGAAAAAGGGTCTGCTGGAATGATTGATTGAACATGGAATGAGAAATTTGCTTGTCATGAGCTCGAATAATAGATTGCATGATGCTTCGAAAATATTTTTTATTTATGCATTTCGCTTGGCATGAGATAGCTTGCTTTGCTTGGCCTGTAAAGTTCATATGGCTTGCATGCTAGTGTGAAGATTGCTTGGCTTTAACACAGAGAACTAGCTTTATGCTTTGCCATTTTTCAGCATATTCTTTGTTGGCAATTCTTGCAGGGATTCATGTAATAAGTCATAATGACCTCTGTGATGAGTGATGGCCTATTTCCCCTTGCACAATGGGCTGAAGAAGAGACGACTACCTTCATCGCTTAGAAACACTTGCCAAGACTTGATCATAGGCACTCGGTAAGCTTTGGAAGCTACTCTCATTTCCAAGTGCTCTATAGAAGAAATGCATGTTTCCGGCGGCATCTTGATTTTTTTTCAATACTCTTGCAACATCACTAAGGGCTGACCAGAGTGGTTCGATCATGAGTGGGCTGACCCAACTACCGAAGATGTTTTGCAAATGATTGAAGGTTGCAAAGGAAACATCATTTTCGACCTTACAGTAGTGTGCTGAAAGGGTATGAGCATGTGTCTTATTAGGACCTCGCGTGGACTTCCCGCTTGATACTCAGAAGAAGTTATTGCACAAGCTGTTTTTAGAGCACAAGCTGCTTGTAGCATAAAGATGTATGCCCAATCCCCTGAAGCAAGAGTTGTTGTTAATGCGTTGAGCCTTAAGTTGGAGAGCCAGTGCCGTAAGCTACGAGACCTTCTCCTTGACAAA